TCTTCCCACTTCTCGGAAATAATGATTTTGTATTTCGTCTAAATTTGATGAGAAAATGTTAGGGGAGGGGTGATATTTTGGAAAAGTATTTCTTATGACGTTGGTCATGGGTGTTATCTGGTAGAATTGGCGTTCCCTTTTGGTAAAAGGCCTTTCCTGGCAGACATGGACACTTTTCATTTTGAATTCCAGTTAAAACTACAATTACAAATATCACTATTACAAGGTAATTTGTAACTGGCTAGCCTGTGTTTACAAAATAAAAACTATTACTATCGTAGTAATGAGAAAAGAAAAAAAATGTTAAAAGGGGAGTAGCTTTGGATTAGTCCAAGTTTTGTTTCTACAGAAGAATATATAGTATGTGGTGAGAATGGAGATGCTTGTAAGTTTGGAGTTGAGGTAGCGTTTCTGTTGATGATCAATGGACAAAAAGTGTCACACATGTCGATGAATGAGCTGCAGGAGTTGCCAAAAATTTCAAGTGAACTGATGGAAAGATTGACAAACGAGACTGACTTAAACTGACGTTCTAAGTCAGATACGAGGGTGGCATATTTCTCTGACTTTCTGACAGCATTGCAGTTGAGATTTGTTTCAAAGCCTATGGTTAGCTCTAAAACGTACAGACAGTTTTCCTTAGTTTTGAGAAGTAAGTCAGGGCGTAGTTGATCTCCAGTTATGATAGAAGGGGAAAGAAAGCCTGGTAAATCTGCGTAGAGAGAAGACCCATTTATTGCTTGGAAGGAAGTGGCTAGAAAGTTTAATGCAGAATTATGACGCCAAGTATAGCGTCCTTGGTCAAGGTACACTTTGCATCCAGCAACAACGTGTAGAAGTGTTTCTGGAAGAAGACAGAATTCAAAGTCAGATGTTTGACTAAGGTTCCATTTCAGCAGATTTTTACGAGTTGGAAGAGTGTTGTTAAGATACTTGATGGTAAAGTTAAAGATGTTACTAGGCAAATTGCTCTGTCTACTTGACCAAATACCGTTCAGCTTTTCCAGTGAATGTTTCAGTAGGACGGTAATTGTAGCTCCCTGAAATGGTAAGTTTTGAGAGAGACGTTCTTTGTTGTCTGATTTGACAGCCTTTAATACCTCTTTAGTATTACGATAGATGTCGTACTGTAGGTTCATGCCATGACTGGTATTTTTCCATAGGGTTTGAATGTCAATGTTAGGAGAAGATTTTTAGGGCATTGCGACAGACAAGTTGGCATTGCGTAAATTTGATAGAAGGCAGTTGTAGATTTAGGCCAAACTGATTTTTTGAAAGGATTATTACCAGGGACGTCACTTCACTGATTTTTTGGGGGGGGTGTAAACACTATTGCCCTGCAAAATATTTCCTGTAAAACAAGTATAGATGTACTGTACTAATGCATATATTACATAAGTACATATATTATTTTCAAAAAGCAATACAAACCAACAATCGCAATAAAAAAAGTCAATAATTAGTCTACTTTCACACTAATTTATTTAATTGAAATTTTTCTCATTTTTTTTCATGCCATACTTTTAATACTTTATCAAGTGGGATAGTGTCTGTTAGGTCTTTCTCACAAGCAAGTAGAATGAGATCATTCAATCGTTCATCTTTCATTCTTGATCGCAGCAAATTTTTAACAATCTTAA